TTTTTTAAATTTGGATGTTTTTGAGACAGGGTCTTGCTTTATATTTCAAGTAGGACCTGAACTCACTATGTAGCCCAAGCTGGCCCCGAACTCACAGCCTGTGTAGTAGTGGCTTCACAGGCATGGACTACCACTCCTAGCTCATTTTATTGATGCATTCATTGTTACTGAAGTATTTTGTGGTCTTTTTTCAAACAATTTGGGTTGAGTATTCTTTCTCCTTTGGATATGTAGTTCACATATTTTAATTAATTAAGGCTTGCATTTGTTTTATTAGCTCCCATAGGCTTGGTCTGTGGGGTTTCTGTTTTCATTGATGCTACACTTTCTTGACTGCAAGGCTTTTTGTTGTTTTCGAAGTAGTCTGATAAGAGGGTTTATATTTCTCTGACATGGCTTTAGGAGGACAGTTTTTTCCTTCGTCTGTTGGCTGGTCATCATGCATACCTTTTTTTTCTGTGATAGTTCTAATGTGTGCTGTCCCTGGAGTGTGGTCTAGCATTGCTACTTTGCAGAGTTTATTGAATTCTCCTTTTCCCTACGGTGATTTGCAGATGTGTGTGAGCTGTACACTTGGGAAAACAGCTACCTTCCTGCAGGTGCCGTGGGTCTCCTCACAGCAGTAGATGCACGCATTTTCATTACAATGAAAAGCTGACCTCCTCAGGGCGCCCTGAGTCTGAGGCCTCACTGCGTGCCTAGCTCCGCAGTTGGAGATGAAGACCATGCCGTGTGGGTGTCAGCCAGCAGCCCAGCTGTAGCTACAGCTCGGCTCCCCGTAGTAGGAAAAAAACCTAGATGCAGGAGGGACCCCCTCCCAGACGCTGCCCTGTGACCCAGACCCTGTCTCTGAGGTGCTCTTGCCGGAAGGTTAATCTGTCAGAGGGTCTTTCATCACTGTAAAAGGCAGGCACAGTTCTCTTAATGCCATTGATAAGATTTGGGTGCATCCTGCTTTCTCCTGCTTACTGTGCGCAGTAAGCGCTGGAGAGGATCACTTTCCTTTTTCTTTTCTTTTTAAAGTTTTCAAAAATTCATTGATTCAGTAGTACTGATCACAGGAAAAAAAAAAAAAAAAAGATTCCTGATTAAGTATATTCCACTGCCCAGGCAATGGTTATTTTTAAAACTTTATTCAGTGTTGTCATGACCATGATTAAAAAAGGACATCGCCTTGTGACCTGCCAGAGGGCCAATGTGCTGCAGCTCATGTGCAGCTCCTTACAGACCCCGCTTGGTCCTCCTCCAGGGTCTCCTCTTGGGTTGTTCCTGCTTTTATTACCTGTCTTCATCCGAATCCACTGAGGAATGGGGCCATTCTGCTTTTGCTTCTTGGCCAGGAATCATTTGATTCTGAAAGCCTTGTGAGAAGACATGGTGCGGGCAGGAGGCGAGAGCGCGCACTCCGTGGCGGACTGAGGCAGAAGAGGCACTCTCCTTTTCTAACCCACCGATTTTCATTAACTTATGATAATTGTATACATCATGCACGTGGACATTTGTCATTTTAGGGTAGGAATATACACACTATTTAGAGAGTGATCAAATTATGTTGCTTTTCATATGAATTTGATAGTCATTTAAGACCTATTGGTGTTGGGCTGGCCAGATAGCTCAGCGGACTAAAGCACCTGCTTAGGCAGAGCACAGCAGCCAGGGTTTGGTACCTGGCATGGGGTACAGTGCTGGACCCCCTCAGGGGTGCACTGAGATGGCAATTGAGACTGGGCATGGTGGCCCATGCCTGTAATCCCAGTACTTGGGACGCTGAAAATGGGAATCACTACAAGTCCAATCTACGTAGTGAGACTCTGTAGACCCTGACCTAAAAAACCAAAAAAGACCTATTGGTTTTGTTCTTTGTAAAGTTAATGTTCAGTGCCTGATAATTTAAATTTGTGCCTTTTGCTGTTATAATAGAGGAATGATGAGTACATTGGTGCCTAAATTGGTGTGAGCACTTTTTGTGAATGTTATTTCCTTACTGATTATTACTGGGGCGGGGGGAGGGAATAAAAAGGAGAAAGATGTATTTGAGAAAAAAAACTGTATCCTCTCTAACAGCCCTCAATTCATTTTGGCTAGTGGGTGCCCCCGTTTCCCTGTAGACCCAGCCCGAGGGAGAGGGAGAGTTCCGGCTTCCAGGCCCTGCTCCACCGTGGGTGCTTCGTGTGTCACCAACATGGTGTCCTGTGTCTTCGCTCTGAGCACAAGCCTTGTTTCCAAGGCAAACAGTGATACTTAACCCCCCCCCCCCCATCTGTTTCAGAGAAGCCTTCTACAGAAAGCTTGCCGACAATTGTGATGGGACAGAAGCTACATAAAGCTCCTTTGGCAACACATGCTAATTGGTGTTGGTGCCCTGCTAAGGGAAATTCTGAACACCTACACAGGAAAGATTAATACAGTTAATCACCGCAGGGATAGATTAATAAAGTGAATGACCTCAGGAATGTATTACTTGTGAAGATTTAGCAAAATCACGTTATTCAAAAAGGTAGATAACTTTTTAATAGGTAAGGAAATAACTATTCTTCTCTTCTAAATTAGAAGTCACTTAAGTGAACATACTGATTTCAGGATGTATCCCCGTACTACAGTGCTTGCCTGGCGTTTATGAGGCTCCGGGGTTCAATCAGCAGCATTAAAAAAAAAATTGAACACATTTTATTTATTTTATTTTTTTAAATTTTTATTTTTTTTTTATTTATTTTATTTATTTTTTCGTACCAGGGATTGAACTCAGGACCTTGTGCTTGCCAGGCAGGCTCTTAAGCACCGAGCCATCTCCTCAGCCTCCTGGGTAGGATGAAGCAGAAACAGCCCAGCATGGTGATGCACACCTATAATCACAGCATTCACGAGGCTGAGGCAGAAACTTGCTGTGAGTCCAAGGCTAGGATTACCTAGCCAGACCAAAGCATGTGCTCAGCAGGATGTGAGAACTGGGGGGAGCCACACATCCACCCCCAAGAAAAAGGATTCAATAGGGAGTTTATCATGCTCCATATCTTCCTGTTTCATGACATGTTGGAAATATAATCCTTAGGGCTTTTTTGGTTCCACTGCATAGAGGTCTGGTCGCTTTTGTCTTAAAATTGGGATTTGCTGACGTATTTCAGCCAGCTTCTTCAGATCTATATCTGAATACAGGACCATTTCTTCAATGCCAGCTTTGGCTATGACTTCACCCCTAAAACAGATGCAGAGGAAAATGAATAGACTCACTGATGTCTGGTAATACTCAAGATCTCTTCGTTTTCCTCTGAGCATCTCATTTCCTCTGAGCATCTCATAAACAAAACAAAATGATCTCGAGATCAAGGATTCACAATGGTGCTGTGTCCCCAAGCAACGTAGGATGCTTTGTCATCCCGGGCAGGAGAGGCCGTGGCCACGTATACCTGATTATCAACAGCACGGCCTCGCTGAAGTAATTCCCAGTGAGCGGGTCCAGTGGTCAGATTGAAAGCTCCAGGATACACCAAGAGCTGGCATCCTCTCTGTGCATAGATTTGTGCAAGCTCTGCAAAACGCATGTCATAGCAGATGCCCAGGCCCACTCTGCAGTAAGAGGTATCAAATGTGGAGAAACTATCACCAGGACTCAATGTTTTGGATTCTTGAAATGTAATTTTCCCAGGAACATCAATGTCAAACAGATGGATTTTTCTGTGTTTTACTAGTAAACTTCCATCAGGCCCAAAAACAGGACAGGTGTTATATAATTTTCCAGCATCTTCCTCAGGGATGGAGCCTCCAATGAGATATACGCCGCACTCTTTTGCTACTTCAGAAAGCTTCTGTGTGGATTCACCAGGAATTTTCTCTGCATATTCAGGAAAATATTTTGTACCATATGGAGAATTAAAGTATTCAAGCCATGGTCTCCCGGGAGGACAATCCGAAGCCGGAGCATGCAGGGGCGCGGCCAAGACGCCGCAGCGCGAGGGGCCTGAACACATTTTAAAAACAAGAGTGATGGCCCTAGTCGTCAGGCATGTGTAATCTCACAACATTTATGCTTCTAGACTTACCCAATTCAGCTATTTTGAAAGAATGTCAGAAATGCAATTGGAATGTAGAATCTAAACTGAGAAATTTAAACCCAAGGAGTGGGATATGCTCCTTAACTTATCAGAAAAATTAATGGCAACTTATTTTGTAAGGCAGTGGATAATTTAGAAAAATGCAATACAGGCTTTTGGGTAAGGACTCAGATTTTTATTCTTTAGCTTCATGCCTGATAAATGAAATCTTAAGCTCACCAGGGAGAACACCTCCCCAGAGGTCACCTAGGAGTCTGGGTGCAGAGCAGCTTTGGAACCTGCTGTGGTTGGGCACCTTGTCTGCCATCCCGTATAAGAGTAGCCAGGCAGAAATGCCTGCTCTCCTTGTTTTCAAGGTACTTCAGTTTAAAACAAGTTGAAACTGGACGGTTAACATCTTCCCTCCATTGATGTAGCCCTAGCTTGTATTTGTAATAAATAAGGATTAGAATATTTATTCTCTTTTAGGGTACATATATTTTCAGCAGAGATTTTAGTAGTGCATTATTGGTAACAACGCATCTTTTAACTGACAAGATGACAAAGGCTATTTTGGCCGAATGGTATTTCTTTTTTTCAGAAGATTTCAGAAATACAATTTCCTCTTGTTAGAATAAAGTACCATTGGATCCAGTGGTAGGCATTAGCTGAATGTGGTGGCATGTACCTGTAACCCTAGCACTCTGAGAGGCTGAGAAGGGAGGACTGCAAGTTCAAGCCCAGCCGGGGCAACTTAGTGACTTAGTAAAGCCCTGTCACAAAAATTAAGAGGCTGGACACGAAGCTCAGTTTAAAGGCCCTGGGTTTATTTCTTAGTACTGAAAAAAAAAAAAGTATCTATAGGACTTGCTTGTTCATGTTTTGCAGTTTCTGTAGACATCAGAGTGTAGTCCCAATCCAGCAGCATTTAGGTTTGGGAGAAAACTACCCTTCCTTCTAGCATGCTTTGAGAAAAATGTTTAAGCAGATGTAGAGTTTACTGGCAGAGGCATGAGTTTGACTGTCAGGATGGCTGAACTTAGTCAAGTGTTTCATGAGTTGATGATATCAGCAAAGGACAATTTTTTTTTTTTTTTAATGTATTTAGGACAGAGTCTACAGGTTCTCACTACGTAGACCCGACTCCTAGTGATCCTCCTGTATTCAGCCTCCCAAGCACTGGGATTACAGGCATGTGTCACCACTGCCCAGTCTCAGTTGCTGTCTCAGTGTGCATGCCCTGGGGGCAAGGCCAGCACACTGCCCGGGAATCGAATCCCGGCTGCTGCACTCTGCCTAAGCAGGCACTTTTAGTCCACTGAGCTATCTCGCTGGCCCTGACAATCTTTGTAGTGAAAGAGGAAAACATAATCTGTAACTATGGTAGGCCTAGAAAAATACAGTTGCTGGTTTACCAGTCTCTATACTTACTACATTAAATTTAGGATCCCCCCCACCTTGGCCAAGAGCTAACACAAGCCACTCTCTTCTAAAGAAAATGCTAGAAGATTGATAGAGTCCTCCAAGGCAGCACTGTCTCTCACCCCACTGATTGCTGTTCACTTTGAAAATCCTGAGTAAGATGAGAGATGGAGAAATTATTTACTGTGGCGAGAGTGGTTAATGCAAACACACTCTACAAAGGCTCGCTCTTAGGTTGGCTTGACTGTCGATGGACAATGTGCTTCTTGTTTTTGTAATTGCAGTTAACTTTAATTAGAGGCTCAGAGTAGAAAGCTAGAGCTGCTTGAAGTTTGTAGGGATTAATGGGCCATGTCATCCACTGCAGCTTGGTCCCTCCAGGATGTGCCAGGGCAGCCTGGCTTTGTCTCTCTGTGGAAGGCGTCATGTCCTGTAGAAATCACTGCACCATCCCTCACATCACGTGGCTTTTGTTCCCTGGCTGGAAGGCTGGAGCGACCCCTCTCAGGCCCACTTCTCTTTTAGGAAAGGCCACTAAAGTTCTACACCTGTAGCATTCCATAAACTTAAGGAGCCTGAGGTTGGTGAGTGGGCAGGGCACCAGCTGTCTTTGCCACATGCCAGAGTTTGAGCTCTGGTAACTAATGAGGTTCAAGAGAACAGTTCCTTGGCAGACTTTACTGCCTGGCCCAGTTGGCTGGCATGATCCAAAAAAATGGACACTGCTTCTCCCTTTTTCCTCCCTGAAGCAGGGAATTTGTATGGTTGCTAATAGCAGTCCCACCTTTTTTCAACCAGGTCGAGGCTTTAGATTTGTGATGCTTTATTGAAAATTCTCTAAGTATGCACATATTCAAAACTGAAACCTACCCTTTGTCTTCATATTCACAATGCAACGTGACTTTTTTTCATGAGGGAAAATAAAACTTTCTCAAATTAGTCTGAATTGGAGAGTGTTTTTATTTGCAAGACTTTACCTTAAAGAAAGAGTTCCTAGGTTTTTGCTATTTTGGTTAGCTGATTAGGGCGCCTAGGGCACTCATCTTAAACACTACAAATCAGAGTGAATGGTATGCTAAAAGAGATGGCCCTTCAGTGGATACCAGCATCTTCTCAGCTACCTAGTAATGGTCATAATGATCAGCGGTGAGATTTCCAGTATTCATGGAGATAAGGGTTTACGAATGGAAAGGTAAGGACAGAGAAAATAAAGTACCTACCTGAGGTCACCACATCTTTAATTCTTTATATAAGAGACCACTGTTTAATAAATTCTAGCTAACAAGGAAACAGTGGCTCTAACCTAAGTTTGCTGAGTGGATCTCAAAGTGTGCCATATATCAGTAGCATCATTTAATGTTTAATTTCTGATTAATCCTAAAATAGGAATATTTTTTCTACTGGAACCCTCCATACTAAGTTTTAAAATTTAGTTTCTGTTTTGAAAGCACAGTACTGGATTTATGCATTATTGTAGTATCAGTACAAGTTCTTAAGAATCAGATCAGTTATGACCATGGAAAGCAAAATGTTTATTTCCAAGCTACATTGTCCTTTACCTTTTCAAGAAATTGTCCTTAGATATGTATCAGAGAAATTATTACAGCCATAACCAGTTCTTTCAAAAATCAGACACTGGTTTAGACAATTTTCCCCCACCTGGGTATAATATTTAACTTTTATTTGCAATGGAGGCCTAATCTAAGATAAAAATTTCATCCCTAAAATGACACATCCTTAGAAGGGAAAGGGGCAGAGAACAGAGCATCCTCATAATTCTAGGAGTTTTAATGTTATACCTCAAATTAATAAAATGTCCACAGCAGGAAATAGGAGGATTGACTGTGTACAGACTTGAACCTAGAGACATCAAACTGTAAGCTGAAGAGGGCTCAGCATGCAGCCATAAAAGCTGGGCTTAGATGGGCCAGTTTGGCAGGAGAAGCACACTGAGTCTGGGGAGGTGGGGCACGCAGTCACAGGGCAGGTGCCCCTGACGCAGACGGGAGCCTCACCTCGCAGCACCCATCCCCTGCCCACCCTGCCGCACATCTCCTTCCCTCTGTTTCAGGACTTCAAGTTATTTACTTGATAATGTGTTAACAGGAAAAAGATGGTGTTCAGTATTTTCTCACAATACTGAAATCCTTCTAAAAACTCAGGATATTTAGAGAAAACCTGGCAACCAAGAATAGAAAAGCATAAGAGAGCCAAAGAACTCCGTGATTGTCCCTGTGTCTCTCGGGTCCATCTTCACCCCTCTGCAGACCGGCTCTGTCTGCCGTGCTGTTCAGAGGAACCCATTGTAGGTCTTCCTGCATGTGCAATCTGCCTAGCAGATCCCAAGCCCCAATTTCAAAGCCTTGGGGGGAGGGGATCACCTTGCTCAGCCGGGGTCTGAGGTTCTTGCTTGTTCTGGTGGTCCCTGGCTGGGTAGGGTATGTCTTGGTTGGGAGATGATATGGGAACAGGCTGCTTTGACCCCATGGCCCCACACGAGGATCCCGAGGAAGGGAATTTAGCCTGCATATACCATTGGCACATGGCTATGGCTTTATTCACTCCCCCGCTCTCTGAAGGTGCAGTCTCTCTTGGCCACAAAAAACCTAGATATTGGACCTCAAAAACCTCCAGCCAGACAGTGAGTGAATGGGAACTGTGGACCTTGGATAACTCCACAGTGACGGCACCTGCAGAGGCTGCCTGGCACCTGGCACCTGCTGCCTGCAGGTCTTTGTCAGGCAGGGCCCCCTCCCCACAGCAGTGGCGATGCTTGAGATTGGGTGAGCTTGGTGAAATGCTTCCCTTGTGCAGACACCTTCTCTGAATCTCTGGAATGTGAGCTGCATCCATTCTGAATACTATTCTACACCCTGACGGCAGCGATCTCTCAGACCTAAGAGAAGCCTAGGTGATGGAGTTCTAACTCTGCTTCCCTGGGTTGTGTGCTTACTTAGGTGCTGATTTAATTTAGGAATGAAATTAGTTCCCAAACCAGGAATCTGGGGCTACTGGGGTCCTTTAAATGGACTCGATTTGGACTTTTTCCAGTGTGGTAGAAAGGTTCACTTCACTGTTCTTGAGCCCCTTTCCTGTGCTACCCTCTAGGGGCTGTGCCCAGGCCCCGGGCCTTGGGATCTGGGCTGATGTCTGGCAGCTACCCTGGATCTCTGTTCACACCAGTCCCTGCCACCTCTGGGGCATGTGTAGGCTGGGAGGGCACTAATGCCTTGTCACATGTGGAGTCCAGGCTCAGGCCCAGCATCTAGGCATTCTTCGGGGGCCCCTGCAGATGTGGCTTCTGCTGCCTGAGTTCCACACGGTCCTCTAAGAATGTCCTTATCTTGGGGGATATGGCTTTCTTCAACCTTTTCTCTTTAAACCCTGCTGCAACTTACCTGAAGCAGAAAAAGCAGAGGCTGCCTCACAGGTGAGTGTGGAAAGTTCAGATAGAAGGGCAGACTGTGTTAGAAAGCTGCCTGCCGAGTCAGTGCCAATCCCAGTGCCCGCTGCAGCCTGGCATGTGGTAAGCTCTGCTTCTCTCTGGCCACCTAGCTGTCGTCTCCTGTTGCAGCTGCCCACTGAGGTGTTGGCGGCATCTCCTCACACCTGGTGATTTGCAGGGGATTTGTACCTGCTCTGGACTGGCAGAGGTGTGTGAGGCATTGCAGTGGCTTCCAAAGCACTTTTGGAAACTGGTTTATTCCTGTAGTGAAGCCTTCAAAATCCTAGTATGTATAAATCTTCAGTGAATTAGTAGAAATATATATTTCTTGTTTCTAGCAATGATTAATCTAGTTCTATTAATAGTTTTCAGAGAGGACTGGGGATATAGCTCAGCAGCGTAAGCACCTGCCAGGCAAGCACAAGGTCTCAAGTTTGATCCCCAGTACAACCAAAAAAGTG